GATTCTGCTCCAACCGAGAAGACATAGATGACCCAGAAAAAGTACAGAGAAGGCAATCCTTATGATTGATGATAAGGTACAGCTGTCGTATCAGGGATGATTAGGGAAATGGATCCTCTGGACCTGATCACAGAGTGGTATGATACAGCCTAATGAGATCATTTGTGCTAAGAATAAGGTAAATAGAAAAAGAAAGATTGCTAATTGTCTTCCAGTCCAAGAACTAAAAGCCACTCTAAAGATATAAGCAACATCAGGTTCAGATAAACAAGAGGAAATAATCTTTCATTCAATGTATTCTTAAGCCATAGAACTGTGCCATAGGTCACTGTGGAGTTCAGATTCATGGAGAAAAATCTGCAGACAGTATCTGAGGCAGTTCCCAATCATGTATAACCACATGTTGGGAGAATATGTCAGGGAAGCATCACTATGTGTCTGTACAGCTAAAACTCTCTCCTAGACCTCTACTTTTGACAAATGTCAGGGACATAATCTAGACACCCATATTTGAATTAAACAACAACAACAAAATCTCATGTGCTAGATTTGCAGGAAAATCAGGACTTCATGTTCTGGAGGAGCATCTTAGCAGACAACTAAAAAGAGACACTGAAGAGGTGTATAAGATAATTCATTATTCATGAAAGAGTTCAAAAGAGAAGTTCCTAATCCCTCTCACAACATGAACTCGAGGCATTCAGTCAACGCTAAGTGTTGACAAAACCATAAGCTGGCTGAAGAAAACACCTTTCCACACAATGTGCAAGCAGGCTTCAGAATTTACCGCAATAGGAAGCTGTCCAAGCCGTGAACTTAGTGAGCATCAAAAACTAACCAAACATTCATGTGGGTAAGTCATTGCTAATGATTATAACTTTGGACAAGACATTAAAATTCACACTTCCGAGGTTAAGCCTACCCTTACAGCCTAAGGTAAAACCCTAATTTGGGAAGTAAGTCATCTAATGCCTGCATATGCAGGATTCTTATGCATCCCTTCCTTGTCTTGGACAGACACAGGCATACTTAGGCTGTTGGATGAAACAACAGGCTCCAGATCAGGAACAGTTTTGTGTCTTGCCCTTTTTCTGTGCCAGCTGTCATTTCAAAACTGATTTTTTAAGTATTTTTCCTCTTTTCAGTAAGAATTATAAATAATATTGTATGACAACTTTATGTCCTCTGTGTACCTTGAGGAAACTGGGTGGGAAAGGCAAGGAGGATCCAAAATGATTTATGACCATTTGTATTGGCCTGGAAGTTGATTTATTCTCCATGTCACCGCATCTTTGGTAATAACCATTGCATCCAACCTGTGAGAAAGGGATAGAAATATCATGCCATATAAGAAGGGAAAACAGAAAGGGTCAAAGCAATAAGGAACAGAGCTATTACAGAGTCTGTAAAGTAATACAGTTATGGTACTCGTAAACAGGACTGTGATGCTAACAACAGGCAGCACCAAATGAATACATCCAATTAACAAAAAAATACAGTAGCATAAAGACCCGGGGGGGGGCAATAAAATTAGCTTATTGAATTTGTTGTTTTATAAGCACAAGCCTGGATAGTCATACCTCCACAATTAATAATCTATCTAGTAAAGATTCTCCAGGCTGTGAATGGTGAAAATCATTTCAAAGCAATCAACACAGGTTAAATTTACTCACAAAACTTATTCACACAAAAGTGAAGTCAGTTTAAACCCATACCCCATAGATATGCTTCCAAGTTAAAAATTAAAACAAAATTGATCTCTCCAGAAAGCACCATGTGAAAAGTATTTTGCAACCCAGCAACAATAAATCATTCTGTGAGATGAACTACACAAAGAGTTCAAGTAAATCCGATTAATGTATTCATATAAGCAAAAACGGAAAAACAAAATCCAGTAAATCTAAGCAATTAAAATGGTTTTATATTTTAAAGAGTTTCAAAAAATCACTGTTAATGGCAGCAACAGGCATAATTCACATCCTTTTTTTTTTTTTCCATATAAGTTGAACATGAGCACTAATTTAGTCAGCTGCATGACCTTCTGACCCAAAGCTGTCAGATTTCATTATCTGCAAACTTAGAAAAGCTGAAATTTGTGGCAAAGGACACCTGCATCACTCCCACTGCCACCAGCCAGTCCCAAGGGCAGGACTCGTGAGCAAGTGGGTGAGGGAGGTGGAAGGAGAAGGACACAGCTAGACAGGACATGGTGAGAGAAGGGAGGTGTCTTCCCAGGAAGGGCTATGGAAAGAGACTTCATCAATGATTCTGGAGTAATAAACTTCAGTCCTATCCTCGTTCTCCATCCCTTCCCAAGTTATCACACCCATGACGTTCATAAAGGTGGCCGGAGGCCACATCTGTGAAGTGCCTTAAAATTATGTCATATTATTAAATGTGCATTGTACACGCCAAAAGGACTCAAATCCTGCAGCTCTAGCTTGTCCAAAATGGTTCAGCTAGGACCAGTGGGAATAATAATATCTGGGTGAGAAGGAAAGAATTTTCTTAAGGAAGAGCATGTGCCCAACACCAGGGCAACTGTTGTGAGAGGAAAGGAAAACTCTTATTTTATGCATTTTATGACAGCTATTGCACAAATCTGCCCTCACTTGCTTACTCCCATGGGGTGATACCCTTCTTAGTGATAGTGCATCTTACCACTTTTATTAGCCATTTATCAGCCATCATCTCAAGCTCTTTTTTCATAGAAGTGTAAAGAAATCATACAGGGAGCTCTTACAGCAGCCACCCTTGCCTAGCCATCATTGATGACATTTAGTGCAATCAATCTTATTTCCATCAGTGAAGCAAGGAACTGGGTAACCTTCAGTGCACATAGTTACCAAAATAAGCATTTATAAATGAATATACAATGGACTTATTTAAAAGCAGCACAAAGAGGATTTGAGAGGGTACTGGACTTTATGACTCCAGTATGTGGTTAAAACAGATGGACAAAGAGGTGGGGGGAGACATGAAAGAGTTAGGGAGTTGTAAGGATGGAGTTTTAAGGAGGTTTTCTGGCATGGAAATCAACACGAAGGAAAGAACAAAAAGATCCCTTTGGTCCTTCATTACTAGATTTAAGCCATTTTTATAAAGAATGGAGAAAGGAAAACCTATCCTGCATACATCTGGAGGTCTGGTGATGATTCAGTATTCTCATTTCTTTGTGCTAATATGGAAGAAAAAAGTTTTCAACCCCTCATTCTTCTTCATGCTTCCTGTGCTTACCACCTCTCTTGTGCCAAGGTGCCTATGAGGAACTGACCCAGGTGGAAGCAGCTGCCTCAGGTATCTTCTTGATTTACCCATCAAGCCACTCAGCTCTCAGATCTGGTCTCCTGTAAGAATATTTATGCCCACGGTGGCTGGCAAAGTAGGTAAACTACAACCGAACAATTAAGGGACAGTCAGTGGGAAGGACTGATCCACAGTAACAGGTGAAGACCAGCTGTGCATTACTGTGAGTTAGGAATTTTAAAAGGGAAACAAAATCCCCAAACACTAAAATTGTAAAATTTCACAAGTACTTGATAGTAATTTGCAACTGAAAATATTATTCCAAAAAGCATAGAAAATAATCATAGAATCACTGGGGTTGGAAAAGATCACTAAGATCATCTAGTCCATCTGTCAACCCATCCCCACCATAACCATTAATCATGTTCCTCAGGGCAACATCTCCAGGGTTCTTGAACACCTCCAGGAATGGTGACTGCACCACCTCCCAGGGCAGCCTGTTCCAAAAATACAATACAATACATACAGAGTCATGTTCCCACATTCCTAGTTGCCACCTGATTAGAGGCTGAACAGGTTAACTGCCTGGATTTACACTGCCAAAAGAGTGGAAGAGCTGGAAGAGCATCTTCCACAAAGTAGTTTTTAAGCGAGTCTCTTACTAACTCTCAGTTTAGTCTGTTTCTGCTGGGAATGTGCTTTGTGAAGCACTTCTGAAGCGTTCTCTTTAAAGTATCGAGATCCCCTGCTGAAGTTAAAGCTCTAAAATGGCTGTCGCTATCTATAGCACAGAACACAGGAGAAAAGCAAAGAAGTTATTGACGTTCTTAGAGGAATCAATAGAATTTGGAAGGTTGAAAGGAAAAGGGTACTATAAATTGCATACTTGAATGAATGTAGAATCTATAGCATATATAATTTTGCTAAACTATTGGGGAAAAGAAAGGAAATAAAAAAATTATAAGAAAGTTATAGGTGGGGAAATTCTGTCAGATCATGTAACCCCGTACCCTGATGCTGCACAAAGACCTCAGGTGCTTTCTCTGCCACCCTGCAGACCCCACACCTTCAACAGTCTCAGATATTTTAGACTGCAGTGAGTGCTTTGCTGAAATCAATTGTATTGCCTCTGTCATTATCAGTATTTTATACTCTGCAAAATGATGTTACAAAAGCGGAAGGAAAAAAAATCACGTATTTTTCACGGTCTATTGTGCATTTCATTCTTAGTTCAACTTTGTTTCTGGTTTCATTTTCATTGTCATTTTCATTGTTCACATACCCAAGTGTATGGGAACTGCTGAATCATGGCCTGAACCTCTGATTGATCACCTGAGGTGAGAAATGAGTCAGCCAGAAGAGCACAGCTGAAGGCAATTCACCTGTGCTGCCAGAAGGGGTGGAGCCAGGCTGCACCTCTCCTAGACCTATTTAAGAGCTGGCTACCAGTGGGGAAGGATCTCTTTTGGAGATCTGCTCTGCTGGTGTTCTGTGGGTGAGTTCAGGCTAGGGGTAAGCTTTCTATTTATTTTCTTTTGTTGTCATAATCTGCTTTGCCTAAGGTTTTGTTTTGTTTTGTTTTTTTGTGATTATAATATCCTAATATTCTTTGATTATACACCAAGTTAATCATACAATGAATGCATCAGGTTGCAGGGTTGTTTTTTTTTTTTTGTTATTTTTGCTGTTTTGATTTTTTTTTAATAGTTTCCCAAAAATCTACTACCAGCTTCAAGTTTTTATTTTCAGAATCTACGTATGAATTGAATAATTATACTTTGAGTACATGTTCCTTCATCCATGACACTGAAAAAGGGTGGAACAGGTTCAGACTTCATGTGAAAGCTTCATGTAAACATGCTGCAGAATTCAACTCTGTGAATTTAATCAGGTAATGCCACTACTGATAATGTGGCAACTACAATGTGTGATCATCTACATCTTTCTTTCATTTTTGCAATATTTAACAGTTCTCTCTATTCTTTATAACCCTATTGGGGGAGGGGGAAAGAGGGTGGGGAGGAAGGGGAAGATTCCATTAAGGTTGGAAAAGACCTCTAAGATCATCTAGTCCAGTCATCATCAACCCATTAAACCTTGCCAGCTAAACCATGTCCCTAAGTGCCACATCTCCACGTTTTCTGAACACCACCAGACCCCCTACTGCCACCACCACAGGAACAGTACTTGTGTGATGGTGTGCTTCCCACACCCCTTCTTTCCTTCTCCCAATTTCCTCCTCCGGTCTGGCCTTGCAAGAGAAGCCAGAGAGCAGCTGTACGGGTAATGCTCTTTAATACAGATTAATGAACACAAATCTATCTGAAGCTGGGGGGCTGAAAGAAGGGATAGCAGACAGCAGAGTGCCAATTGAGCATGCAAGCACCTGAAGCTCTGAAGTTAGCACACACATGTTGTTTTGTGGAAATGCTGGCAGAACACATGCAAAGCAGCTTGGATCACCCCAAATCCAAGCAGTTTGTATCCAAAGGAGGCAGTGCCACATTTCTGACTGCTTTCGTCCTTCTAGCACTTTGAGGAGCAGCAGAGGTCACTTCATTATAGCTGTTACTGGCCTCGTTTCTCTGTGCTTCTTCACTACCAAGAAAAACATCGCACCGTAGGAGATACAAGCTTATTTCATTGGCGAGGGGATTCCCACAGCTGTAATAACCGTCAGCACCACTGGGTGGTAGTCGCTTTCTTCAGATGGAGAGCAGAGCCGAGCGGGGGGACTTAGAGCCGGAGACTCCGCCAGAGGCCCTCCTCGGCGCTCCACACCTCATACGAACCGCAGATTTTGTGGGATCCGCACTTTGCCGCAGTCTCAGCTCGTTCAGAGGGCTGTGTGTACCTTGCATCTCTTTTTCAGTGAGTCTACTACTAAGGCGAAGAGCAACGCTAGCTATGCGGAGTCCGGACAGCCCACTCCCCGGCACCTGCAAGCAGGTGGTGTCAGTGTTTTGTTCGTGAGCAGAAACACTGGTGGTGTCCTGGCAGGGTCAGCAACTGTGTCTTTCTGCTTCTAAGGTGGAGAAATACGGTGAATATAGAATGACTGGGGATAGCTAAACATGAGAGTAATGCTTATCCTTCTAAGCCCTCTAAACAGGCCGGTGAGTCTTAGTGCAGCCTGTAAAGGAACGTCTAGTGCTGTCAGCTCTAAAGTGTGTCACATTAAAGTCTTACAAGCTAGAGGAGATGTATTGAGATGCCTTCAGTTCTCTCATGCTGCTGGAGTGCTGAGCATGTTCCAGCAGTCTGACCACACTGTGACTCAAGCAAGGGGCATATTTTTTATACTGCAGGTCAAGATTGGCCCAAAGAGGTTTTTTAGCCCCCTACATCTGGGCCTAGAGTCAGCAGCTCCCTTCCTGTGAGCTGGCAGCAGAATTGGAGCTGGAGGTTTCCAGCACATCAACTTGTGTGCATTTGTGTGATTTGGCTTCTGTGCCATCTCCCCTTCTGCTCGCACTCCCTGAGAAAAGGGCTGTAATTAACGATGCTCCGTGCTCTGTGGATATCTTTATTTAATTAGCATTGTTAAAATAGATGGCAAAAAGCGATCCCTACTCTCCTTTCATGCACACAAAGGGTCCCACAGACAGCAGAACCAGCATTTTCCTGGGAAGCAAACTTTTATGACATGAGGCAGGAATCGTGCATTCCTCAAACACCACAGACAGTCTCTGTGAGTCCGTGTGTGACTGCAGGCAGAAGCAAGAGCCTGAATGCCATTAAGCTGTTGCTCCTCTTGCTGAGCTAGGTCTAGTGTGCTGTTGATTTCTTTCAGCCCCATTGCTGGATTACTACTGTATTGAACAAGGATTGTTTGTTCCTTTTTTTTTTTTTTTTCTCCTCATTGCGTTCATTTCCGAATCACAACGTTAGTCTGGACAATGTATGGAGCTGTCATTGTCAAGGGTCCAATTAGCATGGCAGCAGGAGACCTATCATTCAAAGCAATGTGGAGGAAGTAATTCTGGGGCACATTTTAAGATTTAAGTGATCTGGAAACATGATCTCACAAACATCTTCCACTTCCCAGGAATGGAGGTTTCAGTACTTTATTGTAGTCACCCATTTGCTTGGTACCCAAGTAAAGTAACTTACCTGCAAGCATTTAACTACTGGAGCTGAATGCTTTATTACCTTTGTTTCCTTTACATCAAACTGATCTTCTCTAAGAGCCATATATCACTCCCTGGTTAAAAGTACTGATTCTGCTTCAGCACATCAAGGCATTCTATTCTGTAACACAGTTGTACAATACAAGGAAATGAGAGGGGGGATGTCTCCATCTGGCAGATGATCCTCAGAAGTGGAAAAGAAGATGTGCAGGCTTATGCTATTAAACTTTTTGAGCTCAAATGGAATCCAGCTGTGTAGGATCCACTGCATTCTTGCAGTTAACTACTCGCAGGATGTATATTTTCAAACCCTTTATTTTTGTTTTCTTTAATTGTTGGGGCCTGAGATCATAAACGCCTCAGTGTTTCAAAAGTGAAGTGCAGCTCTTGGTAATTTGTTCTAATCGACTGCCATAAGACATGTCTGCTCCATAACCTTGAATGCTTTTTCTCTCCCCTAACAACAGAATATACTTATTGCAAAAAATAAACATCTGGTTTGAATTGAACATCAAATTGCAGTTAGCTTCAAGTGCCAACTATTAAATTACCTCAAATGTGTTATGTTTGAACATGATTTTTCAAGACAGCTAAATTTTTTAACTGTAGCACAAATGCGTGTGTAAAATTACTTTAGGAGATTGATTCCCTTGAAGACCCCCCCCCCTTTCCCCCTTTTTTTTTTTTTTTCATGTGTGTGGCTTGGTCCCTGTTTGCAGTTGCAGTTTCCAGAAAACACTAATCACAAAGTTTCTTACATAGCCAAATATGCCTCATCAGGTGTTAACAGGAAGAAAAGCTCTGTGTAGACCAACATACATCAACATGCAGAGGGATTGTCACAGCAGTCCAAAACCCAATAAGTCGGACCAGAAAATCATGTGTAGCAAGATTACATCTGCAATTTGGTCAGGAAGCAAAACATTAAAATTGATATCTTCATTTGAAAAAACCCAATCTCTAACAGTATCGGGATGAATATTACAGTCTTATTTGCATTATGCCATTTCAGTCTTACAGCTTTATACAAATTTTGCTTTTTTCATTGAAGTCTCTCTTCATTAAGCTCTCTTTTTGTAAGAGAAATTTCACTTTTTTTTTGCTTTTCTTTTTTTGTTTAAGTATGTTTCCAGCCCCCTCAGTCAGATATATATATATATATATATTTGAACTATTGAAAGCAAATTCAAACAAAGACCAAATCCGCTGTTTTGTTAATGCTCATAATTTTGGTGGGATCGCGACTGACAGAGTTGCTGTGGCTTCTTTATGTTCTGAGGAGGAGGAAAAAAAGTGAATATTTTATTCACTGTGAGAGGGCTGTAAAAGGGGAAGTGTAAATGAAAACCATTTCTACACAGCTCTCCTCCAGACCAAAACAGAGTAGCTGCAAGTGAAGTGCAGACCAATGCTATTATTGTTTACTTCTTCTTCCCAGACACTGATCAAAGTGAAACTACAAGGAGAATTGAAGAAAAAATAAAACTAAAAGCACAGATGACTGCAGCTGGGCAAATTGCTGGCAATTACTCTGATGAATTCTAAATTGGACGTGACCCAGTGTCAGTTGTTGTCTATGCTGTGTTCTCATGGGAAGTGATTGTAATTGTTGTGATGCTCAAGCAAGATTAGTCCAAGGAGGAAGCAGCAATTATAAAGGTGGGGCCATCTGATCTGAAGTTTAAATGTTACTGAACGTTGTTGATGACACTGACTGGTTTTAACTACAACATTTGAGTACTAAAACACAAATTAGGGTTACTGAGAAGTAAGAAGAAAGTTTAATCATAACAAAAATCTACAGAATTACTTCATGTACAGCATGGGAAAAACACTGTTGGCATGTGGACAGTAAATATATGAAGAATGACTTCACTGGCCACACATGTTGTTGGCTTGAGTGACAAGCACAAATCCAACAAAGAATACCAAATGGACACTTTTCATTCAAAAAAAACAAAATCCTTACTAGCCAACTTCATCACTGCTAGACATTCAAAGTGTCCAGGAAGTGGACATATCTGAGCAGCACTCATACTCCAAAATATGTGAGTAGGAGGAAGAAAACAGCATCTTTAACCAGCACTTCTGCTTGTATGACTTTTCCTTGACCATCACTTAGAGAAGTCACCAGATTATAGTCCACGGTAGAATAGCTTCTCAGTTGCTAATATTAAGTAATACACGTCTAGGGCTGAAAGCTGTCAACTCCTTGCTAATTCTATTCTTTAACTTTAGTTTGACAGAGTTATTTCAGTTCATGTTACTTGTTGGCAAACGTGCTGATATAAAATGCAGTGAAAGCCATTTGGTTTCTTTAAGTACTTTGGAAGAGCTGACACTGGTATTTGTGTTCTTGAGGATAACTGAATGAGGGTGTAACATGAAAGTCACTGCCCCAGAAACAGCACAATTGCAAGGAAAAAACAGTAGGTAGGTCAGTCCAGGTGGCAGTGCCCCTTCCCATCAGGAAGGTCATGGGGCACTAAGAAATGAAGGAGTGTTCTGGGACCAGATGTGATGATTAGGCTGTGGGTAACCAAACAGGCACATAGCTGGTACTATTTGCAGTTACACACCCTGACATATAGAAAATGCATTCCAAACATCTGTTCAACTATCAAAGCCAGTTTTAAAAGCAACGTTATTTATTTGCCTTCAATTTTTCCCCCAAAATTCACCTTCCTGTTTATTATTAAATAATTAATATTAATTAATTTATTAAAAATATTAATAGTGAAAGTAAAAAATGGAAGATTCAAAAACCTTAAACTCCTAATTTTCAGCTCAGATGTGTTACATTACATAGAAAGCTGTTCCAAAGTAAGTCCCAAATTCCAGAGGATTCTTTCTACTGCAACATGGAGCAGCTGCTTCTGCTGAAGCTCACGCAAGCAGGCAGATTCTAAGGATCTAAGGTAGGCTAACATCTTTTCTTGCTGAAAGAATTTCTGGAAATCTATTCCAAGTGGTGTTACAACAAAATGATAGAATAGAATTTAATATCTAAGCAGGATTATTTCATTACTTTGCAACACGGTATCTACATCTATTCTTTAACATAATCTACTGAACTGGATATGCCTTGAGCAACAGGGATGTTGAAACCTAATAAAGCAACTGTTTTTTATGTCTGTGAAAGTTGTTGGAGACCACAAATTACTCATTTCTGAATAAATATACTTTCAAATTCTATGAAGGAGATGTATAACCTCACTCACCAATTCAAACAAGGATGTTTGGACAAAAGAAAAGAATGAGAAAGCATGTCTTTGCCTTGGGAAAGAGGATCCAAGTAAAACAGGGAGAAAAGTGTCAAAGAAAACTATCTGCCCTAGAAATGCTCCACAATCTTCTGCAGGAACAATAGGTAGTGGGAAAAGGACTGAAGTCATGGATGTTGCAGACTGCTAGGGAAACTCAGGCAGAGAATGTGTGTGCAGAGCTTTGTATAAACATTATCAAACTGTGGAGCTCTTAGAGCAGGTCCAGAGGAGGGCCACTAAGATGATCAGAGGGCTGGAGCACCTCTCCTATGAGGAAAGGTTGAGGGAACTGGGCTTGTTTAGCTTAGAGAAGTGAAGGCTCCGGGAAGACCTCATTGTGGCCTTCCAGTACTTGAAGGGAGCATATAAACAGGGGGGGGAATGGCTGTTTGCAAGGATGGATAGTGATAGGACAAGGGGGAATGGTTTTAAACTGAGACAGGGGAGATTTAGGTTAGATATTGGGAGGAAGTTTATCACACGGAGGGTGGTGATGCACTGGGACACACTGCCCAAGGAGGTAAATTGTTTGTCCCCAGGGATGAACTTCTGAAGAAACATTCTTGAACCAAAACTTTTCAAGGGGCTTAAATGAGATGGCTGGTAACCCTCTTATTTTCTGAAGCAAGAAGAGAGAAATTGTGTGCAGGAAACTGTTTAGATTTCCTGTGAAAAAAAACCAAAACAGTATAGGTGCTGGCAATCCTCAAAATGTAGTCTATATTTTTTTGTTTGTTTTGTTTTGTTTTTGTTTTGTTTTGTTTTTCCCCAATAAAATATGAAAACAGAGGAGGAAGAATGAAAGT